TAAATATATATATATATATATCTATATAAATAAAAAAAAAAAACAAATTTAAAATAAAAAAAAAACAAATATTTATATTTATATTTATAATCATATTTATATATTAATTAAGAATTATTTACTAAATATTTATTAATTTATAAATTTTTTTTAAATAAAGATATATATATAATGTATTAATTTTTTACTTATTTAAAAATAATATATATAAATAAATATATATATATAACTATTAATTCGCGATTAATTCCTAATATATATTATATTTTATATTTTTTTTTATAATAAAAATATTTATATTTTATATATAAAAAATTAATTTTTAACATTACTAATTTTATCATTTTATTTTTATTTTTACCCAAAAGTTAAGGAAAATTTAAAAAAATATATATTATATATTAATATCATATAATATTATATATAAAATAAAAAATATTAAGAAAAAATAGGATAGGCATTTAAAAATTGCTTATTTAATTAATAAGTATTTTTATTCTAAAATATAACGTTAAAGATTCACTTTTAATTAAAAAAGCAAATTATTTTAATTATTTATTATTTTTAATCCTTTATATATAAAAATAATATATAATATATAAAATACAAATACTATATTAATCTATGATATAATATTTAGAAATTAATTGTGAAAAATATTATAATTAATATTATTACTAATGTAAAATAATATTTTATATAGTACTTTTGTAAATATTTTAATAATGTAATTTAAATAAAAAATAAATATTTTATTTGTTATATTAAAATAATTAGATATCTTTTATTATTTATAAAAAAAATGGCTAATTTAAATAAAAATGATTTAATATTTGTATAAATAATGATTTTGAAATAGATATACTAACTAATAATATAATAATTTATAATTAATAATATGTATTTTTTTTTATGTTATTAATTAAATAATAATAAAAATATTTTTATTATTATTAAAATTAAATATTAATTAATATTATTTAAACTTTTTATAATATAAAATATATATAATAAATTAAATATAAATTTAGATATAATACTATATTTATTATATAAATGTAAAATAATGTATATAAGTTTAGTTTTTAAATATCATAGTAATATCATAAAATATATATAAATTTTAATATAGATACACTATATATATTATATATATTCCAATTTTTATTTTTTAATTTTATACTGCAATATTTTTTTTATAAAATTTAATCAAAGAATAAAAAGGATATTTTTATTTTAATGTAAATTATTATTCATAAAAAAAAAATACATTAAAATACAATAAAAAAAAATTTAAATAATAATATAGAAAATTTAATATTAATATTTTTTTTTTAATATATAAAAAAATATTATATAAATTTATACACACATATACAAAAAAAAAATTATAATAAAAATAAATAATAAACAAAAAAATAAAAAAAAATAAAAAATAATAAAAAAAATAAAAATGAGAGGATCAAATTTTTAATAATAATAAAATGGAGTAACAAACGTATATACTTAATAATCTTACAGAACCAGCAATACATCTAATTCTCAATATGGAGGTAATACAAATGATGTCTACAGAAATGCAGGTCCTTAAATGGAAGTATATAGATCATAGACAGGAGGTTCAGGAATTGAAGTATTTAGATCATAGACAGGACCATCGGAAGTTTATAGATCTGAAGTGATATATACTTAATAAAATAATTTACCTAGTAATAATATAATGGATATTAGATAATAGACATTAGGAGGTGTAAGTTCTTCTAATATGTTTACAAATAATGAATTTTAAATTAATTAATAAGTAGTAGGAGGAGGATCAATTTATGATGGAGTTAGTGACTAAGTTAAAAGAGGAGGCAAACAATTAAGTACTACTTATAATACTTAATATCAATAAGCTACTGGAGGTGCTTTATGTAGTGAAGAAGTAATTAATATAACAATATATAAATATATATATACTATATTAATATAAATATTTTTATATATAATTATATATTTATAGAACGCAAGAATAGTCGCTAAGAGAATTTTCGAATAATACGATAGAAGTAGAAAAGGGAATATTGATGTAAACGACGGATCCTATATGATTGCTGATGCTTATAAAGCTATAAATAAATAATTTTCGGCAAATCCTTAATACGCTAGTTCTTATTATAGAGTTATTGATGTTAATTAGGATGGGTAGGCTACTATTTAGGATATTGAGAGTTTATGTTTAAAATATTTATGTGGAGTTATGCCTATGTAATAAGGTGAAAAAATTAAAAGAGGTGGAAAAAAATAATATCCTCCAGAAGTTGAAGTTAAACTTAATGTGGTAATATTTTTTTATTTTTATTTGTTGTAAAAAAATTATTTTTTTAGGCTAGAAGATTGTTTAAAAAATATGATAAGGATTAAGGTGGATATTTAGATAGAAACGAAATTGTAGATTTAATTAAAGATACTTATTTAGAAATGGGAATGGCTAATTTTGCACCTAGTGAAACTGATGTTAAGATTTGGTTAGATATGGCTGATACTAATACAGACGGAAGTGTTTCTATAGATGAATATGAAGATTTAGTTATTAAATCTTTATAAAAAGCTGGATTTAAAATCGAAAACTAATCTATTGTTTTTTGATAGAAATTTTATATTATTCGTATTCTTATTATAAAGGAATTATATTTTATATTTTATATTTTTATTTTATTTTTTTAAGAAATTTTTTAAGATATATTCTTTTTTGAAAAAAAATATATATATATATTTTTTATATATAAATATTTTAAAACTTGGAAATAAAAATTAATTATTGATATTTTAAAATTATTATATAGAAAAAACTCTCTTATCTTAAAATAATATCTATTATTCTTCATTTAATTAGTCTTTAATATCTTTCTTCATCTAAATAGAAATAATATTATTATTTCGATATTTTTAAATACTTATTATATTTAAATAATATACTTATTGTAGTAGATAGAATTATAAATAATAAAAAAAGAATTAACCGACAAGATGAATTATTTAAAATTTAAATTAATATATTATTATAATTTTATTAATTTTAAGGCTTATTAGATTGTTATTTGTTTATTACTAAATTGGTAGATATTGATTATTTTTTAGAATTATTATCTTTTATTTATTATTATGATTCTAAAGATTAAAGATTTTTTATTTAAAAAGTTTAAGGTTAATTGTTAATTTTATTAATTTCTATATTTTAAATTTATTAATTAGATAATATATTTTATTAATTTTTATCTGAATGAATTTATTTTATTGAAACTTATTTCTCAAATTAGTCTGTATCAACTTCTTTTAAGTTTTATTAAATAATTTTAATATTATCTTATTATTTTTAAGATTATATTACAGTTAATTTTTATATTAATTATTACTCAGCATTTAAATTTTTATTATCTTGCTATTATTATTATTATTATTATTATTATTATTATTATTATTATTATTATTATTATTATTATTATTATACTATATTTTTTTATTCTTCTTATTTTTATTTTTATTATTACTATTATTTTTTTTTATAAATTTTCTATTTTTTTTAAGCTCTGTTTTAAATTTTAGATTTTTAATGTGTTTTTTAGTTTTTCTATATATTGTTATTATTATTATTTAATTTTTTTATTTTTTATTTTTTTTATTTTTTTTTTACTATTTTAATTTTTTGTATCTAATATTGTATTCTATTCATTTTTTTATTCTTATTTTATATTAATATATATTTTTTAATTAAAATAATTTTACTTAATTCTATATCTGTAACATTATTTATTATTTCTTTTAAAGTATTATCATTCATCAAGTTTTATAACTTTCTTAAATTTGCTTTATAAAGAATAATTAAAAAAACATTTATTTTTAATATACAATTTTCAAATTAGATATTTTATTTTGTTATTTCTAAACTTTAAAACAATAAAAAAAATAAAAATAGAAATATTTATTTTAAAAATGACATTTTTTTAAAAATATTATTGATGTTTATTTTTAATTATTTATATATATATTATTAATAATAATATTGGAAAAAAATTATTAATTTATGTATTTTATAAATATTTAATTAATATTATTTTATAACTAATATTTTTTTTAAAAAAAATATATCATTTTAAAGATAATAATATAATTAATAAATATTAAAAATTTTATAAAATATTTTTATATATATATATATATATATATATATATTATTAAATATGATATAATTATAATCAAATCTTAACTAAACAATCAATAAATTTGATAAAGAATATAAAAATCTTACTAATTCAATATCTTGTGTTTACTTTTCTAAATAATTATAAACTATACTAGTATCAACTTTAAATTAAGATAAAAATATAAATCTTTTTACATTTAAAAAATAATAAGATGGTATATATTATAGCTATTGTGTAAAAAATTAATATGATTCTATAATAACTGACATAATATAATTTAACGACATAAACAATTAATTTTTGATTGTTTTTTTTGATGGATCTATATAATTATATAAAAATCAACTTTTAAATTGTGATAATTCAAATGGAGGTAAATAAATAATGGCAAATAATTTAGTTTTAGAAAAATATTTAAGATAATAAAATATTTAAAATAGTATTTTTAAAGTTGGAATTATAAATGACATTTTAATACTTATTTAATTTAATAATAATATAAAATTTTTTAGTTTAAAAAATTCAGTTTTATTAAATGAACTTTTTGAATAAAAAATTTAAGTAAAAAATGCATTATTTGATTAAGAAAATAAAATATTTATTTTTTTGGATTTCTTAAATAATATATTTGTTATAAATTAATAAAATTGCTATTTGAAATCTGATTTTAATAATATTTTTAAATACTTTTAATGGAAAGATTATGATTATTATACTTTTTTAAAACAATAAAAAAATTTCGAAATATCCCTTTTTGATTTTATTTACTTCAAAAATTAAAATTCTATCAATTTTTTTTATGCTAGTCCTAATAATATAATTATTTAATTAATTCTTAATTTAAATAATAATGAAATTTAGTATATTAAAGGATTTGAAATTGAAAATCAAATAAAATAGTTGGTTTGTATTAAAAATAAAGAATAAGAAAATCTTAATGTTGTTGTTTTATAAAATAACCTTATTTAATAAATTAGTTTTGAAAATTATTAAAGTCAAGTTTTATTAGATAATAGAAATAATGAGAAATTTCAAAATTTTGAATTTATTTATTATTTTAATAATGAAAATACACATTTTGTCTAAAGTAAAAGTTCAAAAAAAAAAAAATAATTTATAATTTAATCGTTTGAAATAATTAATAGTAAATAAAATTGATTATAATAATAATAATAATAATTATATACATATATACATATAAATATATATATATATATATAAATTAATTAATATTTTTTATTTTTATTTTTATAAAAGTTTTAATTAATTTATATAAAAAAATTAAATTTTTTCAAAAAATAATATATATATATA